ACGGCATGCCTTTATTTATTTATTTATTTTTCATATGGTGTTGAGCATCGAACCCAGTGACTCACACAAGCTAGGCAAGTGCTCTGCCACTGGGCTACAGTCCCAACCTCCACCTTTATTTTTTTTTTTTTTTGAGATAGGGTCTCACTAAGTTGCTTAGGACTTCACCAAATTGCTGAGACTGGCCTGGAACTTGTGATTCTCCTCTCCCAGCCTCAGAAGTGGATACATTACAAGAGAGCACTGTACACAACTCAGTTGTCAAAATTTTAGGCAGCCATGCCTTTTACACCACCAATTTATCATCCTACAATCTATGGGAAGATACTCAACACCCAACAGCACTGTCTGTAATATCAAAACTTGGAAACCTGGGGCTGATAGAGCGCTCACCTGGCACGCATGTGGCACTGGGTTGGATCCTCAGCACCACATAAAAATAAAGGTATTGTGTCCACCTACAACTAAATATATATATATATATTTTTTTATGTGAAAACCCAAAGGTCCATCAATAGAAAACTGGTTAAATAATTTATAACACATCTAGCCAGGCACAGTGACACACACCTGTAACCCCAGTGGCTTGGGAGGCTGAAGCAGGAGGATCACAAGTTCAAAGCTAGCCTTGGCAACTTAGTGAGGCCCTAAGCAATTTGGCAAGACCCTGTCTCTAAATAAAAAAGAAAAAGGGCTGGGGATGTGGCTCACACCCCTTGGTTCCATTCCTGGTACCAAAAAAATCAGCAACTTAGCAAAAGCGTCCCTTAGCTTACCAAGAACCTGTCTCAAAATGTAAAATAAAAAGGGCTGGGAATGTAGTTCAGTGGTAGAACTCCACCAGGTTCAATACCACAAAAGATAAAGCAGGGAGCATTCCAAATCATTTTTGGTCCAGACTACTGATTCTAAAATTACAAAGTCAATTAAGATCTACAAAACTTGATGTCACTTACTTTTGCCCCCCCGACACACACACAAAATAACTGAAATGCTGGATGTTAATGCACTCCACTGTGGCAACATTTACTATCTACATCTCTCACATAACAGCATGCTACATACTTAAATGATATAATGAAGTCTATTTTTTTTAGAGAGGGGGGGAGCCAGCACAAAGCTGGAAGTCTTCCAGTACCAGATTTTTTTTGAGGGGGGGGGGGATTTTTTTTTTAATGTTTATTTTTTAGTTTTCGGCGGACACAACATCTTTGTTTGTATGTGGTGCTGAGGATGGAACCCGGGCCGCATGCATGCCAGGCAAGCGCGATACATCTTGAGCCACATCCCCAGCCCATGAAGTCTATTTTTTGAAAGAAAAAAAAAAAAATAAGGCAGAGCTGAGGATGCAGCTCAGTGATAGAGACTTGCCTAGCACTCTCCCCCCCACCCAAATTTTGAATTTAACAGATACCAAAAAAGAAGAGAAGAAAATGCCTGGGCAGGGGATTTTGCTTTCATGCAACAGTTGGTTAGGGATGAAGTCCTCCCAGGCACACATGCCCTGAACAACAGAAAAGACATGCAGGGATGACATGCAAGGACAGACAAGGGCACTGGCTCATGGAGCATGACACCTAGCAAACCAATTATACAAAACTGGTGATTTTTAAGAGTTCATTTGGGTTAAGGAGGAAAAGCGAGGTGTGCCAATGAGGAAATGAGACAAGTAGGTTAGGAAAGGGATTCAGTGACAGAGCACCTGCCTAGCATTACCAAAGCTTTGAGTTAGGGCCTCAGCAGCACAAACAAAAAAAGGAAAAGGAACAGAGCTGGAATAGGATAGACATTTCTCTAAAGAAGATATATAAATGGCCAATAAACACATCAAAACATGTTCAATATTATTATTCATCAAAGAAATGCAAATCAAAACCAGGAGAGCCAGACAAGTGCAAGGTGAGGAAACACAGGCACCTTCACACATTGCTGTGAGCCCCCAGAACAACTTGACAATTCCTCAAAATGTTAGTTACCATATGACCCAGCAAGTCCACTCCTACATCTATCTATTCCCAGGAAGGATGAAAACAAACATCCATAGGAAAATTCATACCAAACGTTCACAAAAGTATTACTCATAATAGCCAACAAATAATTCTGATGTCCATCAACTAATAAACATGTAAACTACTATAGAGATGTTGACGAAAGCTCAGTCCTTGTCCAGATGTCTATCCAATAGCGAGGACAGGGTTTTGAGAAAAAGGAAAAAGATGGTTTTTTGCTTTACTATTAAAGGAGGAAACACAGGGGACTCCTGTCCCAAAGGCTGTGATTCTGTCCATCAGCAAGAACAGGGAACTTTCATTTTTTTTTTTTTAATTTTTTAGACATCGGTGGGCTTTTATTTTGTTCTTTAATTTATATGCGGTGCTGAGAATGGAATCCAGTGCTTCACACATGCTAAGCAAGCACTCTACCACTGAGCCACAACCCCAGCTCCAAGAAAAGGGGACTTTTAAAGAGATGATTCAGAGAAAATGAGATTAGGGAGGAGAGATGGGGAAAAGAAGATCAGGGAGGAGAAGGCTGGGAAAAAGAAAAAAAAAAAACACGTAAGTTTCAAAGCAACAAGGTATAGTCAAAACATTAAGTGAACCCCTGTTACAGATACATACGCAATGCATTCTCAGACTATAAAAAGAAATGCAAATCAAAACCACAAAAAGGGATAGAGGGTGTGTAGCTCAGTGTTAGAGCACATGCCTAGCATGTGCAAGATTCTGGAAAGGTATCACTGCACATCCACTAAGGTGGTCTGATTAAAAAACAAAACAACAAAGAAAAAAAACAGGAAACAAGGGTTGGTGAGGATGAACATACTGGAATCCTCATAGGATACTAGTGGGAATATAAAATATTGCAGCTGTTTTGGAAGAACTTGGCAGTTCCACTTTAAGATAAACATAGAATTACTATATGACCCAGTAGATGCAATCCTAGGTATGTATCCTAAAAAACAGACAATATCCATCCACTTTAGAATGGATAGTCAGGGGCAGTGGTGCATGCCAGGCACTCAGGAAGATCACAAGTTCAAGGCCAGCCTGAGCAGCTTTAGCAAGACCCTGTCTCAAAAGAAAAAAAGAAAAGGCTGAGGATGTTAGCAGTGAGGTTCAATCCCTAGCACTGAAAAAATAATATGTGGTACATCCACACAAGATTATTCAGCCATAAGGAATAAAATAATGATACATGCCTTAACAGAGGAACTTTGAAAAAATAAGCTTAGTGAAGGCCAGATACAAAAGGCCACATATTGTATGATTCCATTTATATGAAATGTATAGAATAGGCTGAGACAAAAAGTAGATCAGTGATTGCTCACAGGGAAGGCAAGCGAGGGGGACAAGGCAGGACACAGTGCTAATCTAATGGGTACAGGTTTGTTTTTTTTAAGCTAATAATGTGGTCTGGGATATAGCTCAGTTGGTAGAGTGCTTGCCTTGAATGCACACAGCCCTGGATTCAATCCCCAGTGTGTGTGCGCGCGCGCGCGCACACACACACACACACACACACACACGCCAATAATGTTATAAACCAGAGTGTGGTGATGGCTACACAACTCCACAAAGAAAAAAAAATCTGGATTGTACACTTTAAATGGGTAGATTGTATGATATGCAAAATATGGCTCAACAAAGCTGTTTAAATGCTTTAGGCCAGTCACTGAGGCAGGAGAACCCTGTTCAAGGCAAAGCTTCAGCAAATTAGCAGGGTCCTAAGTTACTTCGTGAGACCCAGTCTCAAAATAAAAAATAAAAAAGGACTGTGGATGTGGCTCAGTGGGAAAATGCACCTGGGTTCAATCCCCACTACCAAAATAAATAAATTTACAGGGCAGATGTCAATCATTTCACTAACTTACGCCTGGGAGTCAGATTTACCCTCCTTGTGCCCCAGATGCCCTGAACTTGAAATGACTGGCTTGCTATACTTCTGGAAGCTTCCTAACTTGTTCCACTTCTTAAACAAGGTAACTCAAAAGCCAGAGACCATAACTTCCATTCCTTCTGGATCCCACAGCAGAATGTAAAAACTCCAGAAAGCGGGGCTGGAGTTGTGGCTCAGTGGTAGAACGCTTGCCTAGCATGCACAAGGCACTGGGTTCGATCCTCAGCACCACATAAACGTAAAGATATCGTGTCCGCCTAAAACTTAAGAATATATACATTAAAAAGAAAAAGCTCCAGAAAGCATTTACTAAATGCCTGCTGAAAGAAGGCTACTCACTTGAGTATGCCCAGCTTGGCCAAGTCAACTCAACATTCCGGAAAGAAAACTAGAAATACAGTTACAAGGCGGAAAAAAAAAAAAAGCCAAAAGACTGCCACAATGCCTAACGATTCAATCTAAAAGATAGTGTTAAGAAAACGCAAAGTCTAAGGGAAAGCAAAAGAGAACAACAACATATGCATAGCTCAAATGCGCAGTCGTATGCAATCAGGACGACCCCCGCCTCCCCCCCCAAAAAAAAAACCAGAAAACTAAAATACTAGATCTCAAAGAGTGAGGGAAGGTCAAGTGGGGATGGAGGGTACAGATGACGTAAGTTAACCAAAGGTTTCCCTAAAGCTGCTCTCTCCAAACACAATATTAAGATGATAAGGCCTTTGGCGTCACGGCTACCAAGATGAAGCTCACTTCCAGCAAGTTCCTTTTAACAAGTGAAAACGCCTAGCTGTGACCAAGACAGACAAACCATCAATGTTTGCTTGGCTCTCGGTCCCTACCGTCAACCACCTCACCGCCATCTTCTGGATAAGAACCCAGCACTTTTTCTAAAGGGCTTTCAACAGCATCACCTCCGCGCAGAGCCCGGGAGGGTTGCATTTCCCAGCTCGCGCAGAGCGCAGAAAGGGGGAACCTCCACCTGGCTCTTTCCTGCGCCTCCCAAATGCACGCAAAGGGCCGCCGTCTTCCTTCCCCCAACCCGCCCCAGCTTCCCAAGGTCCAGCGCCAGGGTCCCGCGAAGCCCGGTGCGCGGGCCTCACCTGCACACGCCGCGGATGCAGGGCTCCAGCCAGATTCGGTAGGCGGTCTCGATGTGCTCCTGCGACACCTCCTCGGGCCGCACCGTCTCCGCCCAGCGCCAGGCCGCCTTCTCCAGCTGCAGCCGCGGGGCCATGGCCCTGGCACAACGAGCGCCCCTCAAGCCGGGCCGCCTCCGCCTCCGCTGCCGCCCGAACGGGCTCCGCCACCTGCCAGCGAAGAGGACCAAGTGCTCTCTCAGCCAGATGGCCAGTCAATCACCTGTGCGCGCCACTGTTGCCGCGCCCGCCCGCGCCCAACCCGCACGACTGGCCGCAAAGCGCCGCCGCCGCCGCCACCCGACACCACCCGCGCCCACAGACGTTGAAGGTGTATTCCCCGCAGCGGTGGGCGCATGCGCGTTCCCAGCAGCCCCTGCGCCACCCGCGCCTCTAACCGGACGAGCGGCGGAAGGGGGAGAGGCTGGCCAAGGCAGTGTTGCCACGTCTTCACCGCCGCAGCGGGGGAACAACGTCTCAACCCCCAGGGTAGCGTCCTGCGTACCACTATTCTAACAAGCCCGCGACCGTGGGGCAGAAGGCTGAGTGTCCTTGCCTCCGGTACTTCCCCTTTAACAGTGGAATCACGCGCGAGGCTACTCAACGCACACCATAGGTCCTCCTGGATTGCCGGGTGGGCCCTGTCTACAGCAGAAACCGGGTCACCACAGAAACCAGGGTCACCTCTCTTGAGGAAGACTTAACTTGAGCCTGAGCTGGTTCCGACTCCTTTCCCGAGCCCTGCTGACGTCACGGGGCGTTCTTGGCTTTTCCTGAGCTAGAACGGGACTACAAGTCCCGGCGTGCACTGCGTGCTGCCCCTCGGTGCGGGGCGCGCTGGAATACGTAGTCTTGCAGGTGCGTGGCTAGGGCCGCTGCAGATGGTGTGGGGCGCGCGCAGGGTCTTGCAGTGGGCTCCCGTTTCTTGACCATTTGTTGTTATTGGGGATCAAATCCACGAGCTCGTTACCACTCAACTACATTTTGTTTTTGTTTAAGACAGCGTCTTGCTCCTTTGCTGAGCCTGGGGGTCGAAATTGGCGAACCTTCTGCCACAGCCGAGTGTAGGGATTTCGGGCGGCGCGACCACGCCTGGCTCCCTCCTCCCTGGCTCCCGGGCACGAAATCATTTACTTTCAGCCATTTCTGCCAGGAGGCATAAAAAGTAACCTTTATCTAAATGTTTTCCTGCTGCGAATATCGCTGTTAATTTACATTTGAATGGGAGCTCTAAGGGGGAGGGGTCTAAACTCGAATTTCTGAGTCAACTGCTCTCCAGCTGGGTAACCTTGAACTGGATTCTTTAGGTGTGATGAAAAAAGTGGTTCCTGCCCTTGGAGTTGGGTGAGGGTCTAGCCTTAGAAATTCAAAGATATCCTTCCCTGTTTGTTGAAGGGTAGTGGGTGGAGTACTTGAAAAAAGGCTTCCCCAAAGAACCCCCAGAACCTACCAATTAAAAAAAGAATGGAATAGTGTGCCACAGCACACGTGTAATCCCAGGGAGTGAGATTACACTGCTCAGGGGCCGGCGGTATTACCAAAAGCTCCGTCCTGGTCCCTCATGCTAATCCAATAAGGAGAACACTGCTTGGAAAAAAGGAAAAAATTTTAGTGCTTTGCTAGCAAAGGAGAAACACAGGGAACTCCTGTCCCAGAACCTGTGATTATGCCCATCAGCAAGAACCGGTGGCTTTTAAAGAGATGATTCAAAGGCTACATTCCCTGTATTCTCTGTCTGGAGTTGTAATTGAGTATTAATCTGAGAGAGTAATTTCTTAGATCTTCTGGTGCCATTCCCAAATCTGAATACTTTGTTGTGGGTGGGTGGTGAGTGTGTGCTTAAGGACAGACAAATCTGTGTAAGATGGGGAAGAAAGGTTATCCAAAGCCAGAAAGAGAGAGAGGGAGAGATTAGGAGGGAGGAGGGAAATAAGGAAAAGAAACATCAATTTTAAAACTAAATTGCAGGGCTGGGCTTGGTGGAACACACCTGTAATCCCACTGACTCAGGAGGCTGAGACAGAAGGATCTTAAAACCAGCCTCAGCAATTTATCAAGGCCTTAAACAGCTTATGGAGACTCTGTCTCAAAACATAAAAAGGGTTGGGGATGTGACTTAGTGGTTAAGCACCCCTGGGTGCAAACCTCAATATGAAAACAAAAATAAGGGGCTGAGGTTATAGCTCAGTGGTGTAGTGTTTGCCTAGCAAGTGTGAGGCACTGGATTTGATCCTCAGTACCACGTAAGAATAAAAGTAATGTGCCCATCTACAACTAAAAATACATATGTTTAAAAAACAAATAAAAATAAGTTGCAATGGCAAAGCAGCAAGGACTATATATTCAAAGCACAAACTGGACCGCTGTTACACTCTGAGTTACTCCATTTTATAAAGTGGTAATTGGCCATGAGTTACTCCATTTTGAGTTTAATTGCTGAGGTTGATACCAAAAATGGCCCTTATCCCCTATGCTGATCCAATAGAAAGATAATTTTGAGAAAAAGGAAAAAGAAATTTTATGGCTTTGCTAGCAAAGGAGATACAAGGGACTCCTGTCCCAGAGGCTGAGGTTCTGTCAGGGGAACAGAGGGTTCTTAAAAGAGGTGATTCAAAGGCTATACTCCAGCTGTGCCCTGTCAGAAATCATAATTCTTTTGTAGCCTTGAGAGCCATTTCTTAGGTCTGTGGTTGCCAACTCCCAAGTCAGACGCCTTCATTCCTGTGGTCTGTGAGCTTAAGTACAGATAACTTGGCCTCGGGTGGGAAGAAGGTTAATCTTGTGTACCCCATGATTACAGAGAAAAAAAGAAAGGGGAAAATATCAGTTTCAAAATAAGCTTCAGTGGCAGAGCAGTGAGGGTCAAAGCATGAAGTGGGCCTGTTTCGAGGTAGAATGACTGYGCCTCATTTGAGTAAACCACCACCCATCACTGTGAGCCAAGCACAACTGAAAGGCACAAACTGATAAATTATCCACCTGTGAATTTACTGAATTAGAAGCACGTGGATGCATGGGTGTATCAGAAAACCAGGCGTGGCGCATGCCTGTAATCCCAGCAACTTTCGGAGCAGAGGCTGGAGGATCCCAGTTCAAAGCCATCCTCACTAAGCAACTCAGTGTAAGGATAGCCTTAGGCCTGAGTCTAAGCAACTCCATTTATAAACGGGTTTGAAACCTGCAGTCTCACCAGGCACTCCTAAAGGAGCCCTACAGTATGGCCCTCAGGCACAAATAAATCACTTCTGCCCTCCCTGATAAACTCAGATTGAAGCTTCAGGCAGGCTGTCCTTTCTCAAAGGCAAAAAGATCGGGGTGGGGACCACCAGACTTGATGTTTTCACCTCAGGGTAAATGATGTAACTAAGAGACCTGGTGGCAGCTGATAAAGATTAAAAGGGGGTCAAAAGCCCAAAATTTAGAATAAATGGGGCAAATGAACAAACATTCAGCCAGCCGACACTGACTCACACAGCCTGAGAGCCTAATAAGGACCTGGACTGACATCCCAAACTTTTTTTTCATTGTTTGCCTGATCCTGTGCGTTTTCCTCACCAATCTCAAACTCTACAGCCACATCTTGACCCTGGTGAGAGCTGCAACTTCCTCCTATGACCCTCTCCTCAAGTGGCCCCTCAGCTCCACCCCAGGAGAAGCCTGTCTTGGTTCAAAGCCTAAGGCTTGAGACTTTTGATCTGACTCTTGAACTTAGCATGCAGAGGGAATGTCTGTCATGAGCCTGTCATGATTAAGTGTGTTTGCAATGCTTAGAGTGTAAGGGTCCGGCGAAGCGTCGGAGAAAGAGACCACACAAGAGACTGGCTTCATGCAGTTGGCAAAAGGGGGATTTGTTGATTCAGCATGCTGAGGTTCCAGGCTCACTCAGGAAGATAGAGCAGCCCAGAGCCCAGAGCAGAGGTCAAGCAGAGCTTAAGTACACTTTTTGGAGAGGGCGGGGGCTTTGCATACATCAGAACAAATCATCATGAGGCGCGGGAAAATTGAACAACAACTCTGAGACATGATTAGTACATTCATTGGCGGGAACAGGMTGGACAGGGGTGATTGGTCACTCCTAAGCGGGGTACACATTCAAACTGATTGGTTTTGGGGCCTGGATGCCTACTTGCCGAGCTACTCAGAGCCCTTAGCTATTAAACAACCAGGGAGTCAGTGGAAATATTTACTGGGCAGTTCGGGTATTGTCCTAACAGCTACAGGGATTACAGGTTTTGGGGGTAGCAGAGGAATTTTAACAATACCTGGTCCTTCACTTTTTAACCCAGGCCCTGCAGCTTGGAAACTTTACAATGCCCGGTAAACTTTACACTTTAACTCAGGTTTTGCGGCTTAGAAACAGCTTAGAAATTTTACCTTTACAAGAGTTAATCTAGAATTGTTTGCTGTGAATTGATCATCTCTATTGCAGTGCCTAGCATTAAGGATTGTCATTTCTTGATTAAGAACCTATAGAGTGGAGCTGGGGATATGGCTCAAGTGGTAGGTAACACGCTCGCTTGGCAGGCGCGGGGGCGCTGGGTTCGGTCCTCAGCACCACATAAAAATAAGTTGTTGTGTCCATCGAAAAACTAAAAAATAAATATTAAAAAATATATAAAATAAAGATGTTGTGTCCACCGAAAACTGAAAAATAAATATTCAAAAATTCTCTCTGGGGCTGGGGTTGTGGCTCAGTGGTAGAGCGCTTGCCTAGCATGCATGAGGTACCAGGTTTGATCCTCAACACCACATAAAAATAAATAAATAAAGACATTGTGTCCATCTACAACTAAAAAAATATTTTAAAAAACTCTCTCTCTAAAAAAAAAAAAAAAACCTATAGAGAGAAATTGTATTGAGTGTTTTGAGTGAATAAAGCATTAACTAGGGCAGAAGCGGGTAGACATTCTTTTATTTCTCACCCTAGACTGCTTAAGTCACACCTTTTGCCCTTCTCTACACTCAGTGAGACCCTGTCTCAATTAAAATTCAAAACAGGGCTATAGGTGTGGCTCAGTGATCAGTAACCCTGAGTTCAATCCCTGATATTCCCCCAAAAACAAAACAAAACCAGGCCCATAGCTGGGCGTGGTGGCTCAGAAGGCTAAGACAGAGGATCACAAGTTCAAAGCCAACTTCAGCAAGGTGAGGCACTAAGCAACTCAGTGAGACCCTGTCTCTAAATAGAATATAAGGGCTGGGGATGTGGCTCAAGCGGTAGCGCGCTCGCCTGGCATGTGTGCGGCCCGGGTTCGATCCTCAGCATCACATACAAAGATGTTGTGTCCACCGAAAATTAAAAATAAATAAATATTAAAAATAAATAAAATACAAAATAGGGCTGGAGGTGTGGCTCAGTGGTTGAGTGCTCCCAAGTTCAATCCCTGGTACCCCCCCTCAAAAAAAAAAAAAACAGGCCCATAAGCATATAGAACATGTCAGACCACCAAGTGAAGCAACCTATCATCCCATCCAACACCTATCAAATCATGGAGGATCATTATGAGACTGGACACCAAAGCACAAGGACCCTGTCACCTGCTCACTCCTCAACAGCCTTGCCCAAGAAAATCCCCACAGTGATGGACCCCAATCTCTGTCCTTAGGCTTTGGCAGAGTGTGGTTTCTCTTACCATGTGGACTACCCACTCCAGATGACACCCTGAAAAGAACATCTGTCCCTCTGGACCTTGCCCTAGAATAAGTTCCTGCACTTTGGCAGTTCTGTACCCCGAGTAAGTTCTTAGGATTCTTTTGTTT